AATTTCACGCACACTCTTTGTTCCTTCTGGTCGGCCATCTCACTAATCGCCAAAGGGTTGAAACAGGAACGCACACAACAGAGCACCACAGACAAACCACTTAACTCAGACTGACGCCAGCTCACTAACAGTCGTGGGAGACCCCCAGCTAACACCACCTAGCAGCACAACTTGTAACTACAAAGCATGCGCGCGCAACAGGTCGTTTCCGGTTATTTTTGGGTCCCCCCTCGTATATGGTAAGCAGTGCTTTCTGTCAGGAGGCAAGAATTGTTATATATTATTTTCCATAGTTTTTGCCAGTCAGATTATTTATATGATTAAAGTAGTTCATTGTGAAGTTTAATCTTTAGTTAAAGAAAGAGATGGGAGAAAGAGCCTTTTCACTGTTTGTTAGGAAAGATCCTGGAAAGCAGTTTTGCTGTGCTCTGCCAGGAAGGGAGAACTGTTCTGAATAACCTTTGCTTGTTTATTGTGCTGCAGGTATTCCTTGGAATATAATAAAAGTGTGGGTATATGTACAGTCATTTTTGGTCCAGAGATGGATGATTTGGGGCAGTGGAGCTGTATCTTTACAATAAATGATTGGGAAATAGCATCTGCAACTCTTGTGCTACTCAATACACCACCAGGTAAACCCTATGAAATCACAAATGATGTTATTCAAATTCTTTCAGGGCATTGAAGTGAAAAGTCATATTTGGTATTACTAGTTATTGGATATTTTCATGAACTGAGATGACAGCACTTTGTAGTCTTGATACTGAAAGCGTGATTAAATAACCCATGAAAAAGAAAATAAATGAATAAAAATAAAAGAAATTAATCAGCAGGTAATCTTGTATCAGTGACAAATTTTTGTTTGATATATTTGCTCATATTATGGTAAGAAATGTGTATATTTTAGCTGTACCATTTGTTAAAATTTTGTATATGGTAACAGAATTATTTCATTGAAAGCGAAATTTGCAATATGTGCTTGGTTAGTTTGCCCATCCATCCAGCATTACTGTAGCTGAAACTGGCCCACAAAAGGTATGGCTGTTGATGTTTCTGTTACAATGAGTTTCTACTGTTTGCATTTAGTGACATAAGTAGAGGACTGGATTTTACAATGATTATGAAAAGGACATATAAAAATCGAGTTGGGCCATTTTGTGATAAGGTACAGTTTGACGATAAATGGCAGAAGCCATGAAAGCCCCGAATTATTGCCAGCCTTTGAAGATATTCAAATTAGGTATTTGCTATATAGAAGTCAGTTACTTCTCCTGTACACTAATGTGTTCAGTTTTTGTGGTATTTAATTCTTGATGTATTTAAAAATGAACACATTACAGTATAATTTTTTATTCAATATAGTCTTGATGTGTCAGTACAGTGATTAACACACCTTCAAAACTTGCACATACTTTCATCAAACAACAGATTCCATTGTGATTTCATTGTTCAATATTGATTGAGATGAAGTTGTTTTATCTTTGGACATTCTTTGTACTTGAATAATAAAAACTGCTTTCTTATTTTCCTTTTCAGATGAAAAACTTGGTTGGCTTGTTGGTGTTTTGGCAGCAATGGTACTTATTCTAACAGTTGTTGTAGTGGCCATGTTTGTATGCAAGTGTCGGAAACAGGAGTCTACAAATAAAAATGGCCTTGGTAATCCAGTACTCTCGGGACAGTCTGGAGACAAAAAGAGTCCTGATCGATACACTGACTCCCCTACCAAAATTAACTTTCAGTTTGGGGAAACTGCAGGACAAACCATTTCTGCTCCCACTGCTGCTCCTGAAATCCCTAGTACAACACCTCAGCACATCTATGAGCGTGTTGACCGGTACGTCAGTCCTACCACATCTAAGAGCATCTATGAGAACGTTGAATGAGTCTCGAATGAAGTGATATACATACCTTACCAAATGTAAATAGCCAAAGATTGTGCACATAAAGGTTATCGATGGAGAATGAAAGCATAGGGTCCTGGGAGTGTTTTACATCGTATTTCCAAGTTAAATCTTCCAGTATTTTCTTTATTTTCTTCCATTGTTTGTCTTTCAGTTGTACATATTGACTCAATGAACAAAATGTTCACTTTATAAATAATAGAGTGAAAATGGTATGTACTTCACTGTGACCTACATGCTGCATACATGATATTTGCATATGGCACAGCTGTCGTGTCATAATGTCCTATGTAGGTTCTAAAGCTGTATGACTAGTTTCTCAGAAATTTTACTAGCACAAGACACTAAACACTTCAGCAGTGTGTTGGTTTATATGCAGGATATTCCAGGGTATTTACTTTAGTGACATTTTGCATCACAGAACTGTTGACATCTGTGAGTAGAAACAATGCCATGATTCTTTGGAGTTTCAGAATATTTGGGTCTCAATACTACATGATGTGCACATTCTGGATTTATATCACACACACACAAACACACAAACATATATATATTGTGGATGCAGAATTACAGAACTTTATGAAGATGCAAAGTATCTGATATATATAATTATGTTATTACACAGATATCCTACAAAAGTGGCATACAGTGTATTTAATAATTTTAACTTCTTCATAAATTATTTGTACCATACTATGCTTTATAATAACTTCAATATGATATGTCTCCTATTGGCAGTGGTTCATCAACTGTTTAAAAGAAACAGAATCGTTGATTCCCCTTTTGAGGTCTGAACTCCAGATTTAGTTTAAAACTGTTCAGTCACATATCCATATTCATGATCAATGAAGTAACATGTACCCAAACTCTTCACACCATTCTGTCTAAGTTTATTTACTGAAATGTTAACCCAGCTGTGTACATGAAACTTACATTAATCTTATGATGTTCTGTTTCTGCATAGTTTCATAACTGTACCTCATTAAAATGAGAATGTATTGGCTAAGTAACTGCATAAATAAAGTACAGACATCTGCTGTAGCACTGACTTCTTTTTATCATTTTGTCTGTACTGAAAAAAAGGGAAGATTCTTGTTCATCATCTAAGTGAGATAGTCTTTCATGTTTACTGAGCTTTCAAGTGTAGAATCATGTGGTAATGAATATCTTGTCTTAAGTTCACAGTAATGAGAGATTAATTTGAAATTGCATACTATTTATTTTAGCTCCTTGTGGAAGTTGGTACAGTAAACCATGATGCTGAATGCCACTAGGCCTTATGGAAATATTCACAACATTGTAGTATTATTTTACTTGAGCAAAGAACAAAATATTTATGCTGATAGAATAGACACAATGATTTAAATGATTTCTGTGATGATAAAAATAATTATTTTGTTGTCTGCTATGATTAATTTTATTAATAGGGTATTTTTGATACAAATTTTTATATCGCTTTAATTTCCATAAAATAAAGATGGATATTAGATGGAAGGAAAAATTTACTTAGCCTTAAAATTGGACTCTGGTCCAGTCTTTGCTGTGGTAGAGGGAGGAAAAGCCTGGTTTATTTTTCAAGTCCTCTGGGTTTAAGTAAGAATCTGAAAACTGAAGATCAATGGGCTTTCACATTTTGTCCAACATACATGTTATTTCATTTTAAACTTCCAAGACTAGCCATGATCTGGCAAGCAATATCCTATGGTCTGGCCATTTTTTGTAAATAAAATTTTAGTAAGTAAAGAAGTAAAGCTATCCCTGTACCAGGCCGTGAAGGCCCGTAGGGTTGTGAGACGTTGAGGGCCCCACACTATGTAAACAATCGGCTCCAAGATGGCGGTAAGGTTGTCAGCCTTACGCGCTGTCCACGCTTTACTCCCCAGGAAAATTATTTAATTAATTCCTGGTACTCATTTCTGTTAGAGGCTGAGTAAACCCCAGGTCCTAGTGCGGTTGGAAGGATTAGGTCAACTGAAAAAAAAAAATCCAGTGACCTCATTGGGACTTGGACCCATGACCTTCCGGCTTGTAGCATAGCTCCTCAACCAACTACGCTACCGCATGCCCCCAAATAAAATTTTAGTCTAATAAATAATAATAATTATGTAGGTCATGTATAATGCTT